AATATTTACATGGAGAGTTGTTTCTGCCTGCGAATGCGGCCTTCAGCACATTTATCGAGATTTGTCTTTTGTTTCTTATTTAGAAATATTTTTTAAATAAAAACAGAACAGGATCTATACATTGAAGAACCTCATTTTAAATCATTGCTATCACTGCTAATATCCCTTTTCATTTTCAAAACACCTAGACCCTGTGGTCTATTCCTCAGTAACCATGAGATCTGCAATTTAGCTGACATCAAACTCCAAATACTGCAAAGCAGCAATCAAACCATATGTGAGGTTGTATTCTATCAGAGCCTACAGTGGTCCTACTGCTTTAACATAACAGAAATTCTACTCTTGTTTTAGACCAGCGAGGCACCTTGGGATTTGTAGTTCTACAAAAAAAGAGTGTTAGATGTGGCTCTCATTGTGCTAAATAACCAAGATAAAGAATAAAGATGGCATAAAACTGGAATTTCTTTTGAAAGCACATTTACCTCAATCCTGTTTTTACCATAGAGCATCATCATTTCCATTTGCCATTATGTGGCATGTATTGCATTTGTGGGTGTGCCACATTTACATTTGTTAATGCCATCGTATCGTACCTGCTTCTTTCTTTGCACTCACCCATAACCCCCCCAATCCAGGAATAATGCAAATTGTATCTGTCCTTCATTTGCATAGTTATTACACTGCTGTCTGGTGTAAGTTATGAATGCTATTGATGTCGTCTGTAGGGCGCAAGCTATCCGACTCTGTCCGGACAATAAATTACAGCTGATTTCTACAACGGCCACCATGTAAATGCAATCACATTTATTCTGCTTCCCTAGCTTGGAGACAAATGGCTAGTCATTTATTCTGTGTCTAGAACTGTAGAGGAAGATCAAACATCTGCTTACTTGTTGTAATGGGTCAGCGATGCATATAAATTTAAAAAATAACTAAATAAATAAAAAATACTCCGTAGGTTTTAGTTTTAACAACTTGGCACAGTCCTGTTTAGTTAGTGTATTTTGAAATATTTTTTTCTAGAAATGTATTTTAGAATATACTAGTCACCAGAGCAAAACACAAGTTGCCTACATTGATTATGATCTGCCACTTGCCTTGACTGTCCCTCAAACTGTCCAAAGCACATGTTACATAATATGGGGGAGATTTATCAACACAAAGCAGGTGCTGTTCTGGATGCAGAGTGCTAAATGTAGAGACCTGTGGGTTCTTTCATAGTTATTGATCCTTATTTAGTATTTTATCCCATAGCACCAGCTTTTGCTTTAGAAATTCTCACTCTGCTTTGCTTATCCTTTGCTCTGGTCAAATTTCATTTTCACTTTTGTTGGGCTTTGAAAACCATATCACTTGCTTAAATTTTAGGCACATCTTGCTTCTTTGATCTTTCCTGTGACAATTTAATATATAGGATGACCGTTAGGGATTCCGTTTTCCTGCAACGGCAGAATCCTGCAGTGCCCTCCTCCCTGTCACCCCTATCCCATGTTGCTAAAGTAGTTAAAACCCCTTCAGTGACTTACCTGAATCCAGCGCCGATGTCCCTCGGCGCTGGGTCAGGCTCCGCCTCTTCTCCTCCCCCACCGACATTAGCCGGTGGGGGAGACCTAACGAGCATGCGTGGCAATGGGCGCACGCGCATTAGACCTCCCCATAGGAAAGCATTATTAAATGCTTTCCTATGGGGATTCCGGCAACGCTGGAGGTCCTCATGCATAGTGTGAGGACGTCCAGCGTCGTTTAAACCTTTTTGTATTTTTAGAACCCGGAACTCCCTCTAGTGGCTGTCTGATAGACAGCCACTAAAGGAGGACTTAAACCTGCATGGTAATTATTGCAGTTTATAAAAACTGCAATAATTACACTTGCAGAGTTAAGGGTGATGGAAGTTGGCACCCAGACCACTCCAATAGGCAGAAGTGGTCTGGGTGCCTGGAGTGTCCCTTTAAGCACTTTTCATAGAAACACAATTTTCTTTTATGTGTTTAAAATGTACTTTCATTTGTTTCCTTTCATTAGTGCAGCTTAGAGCTTTACTTTGCTCCTCTCACTGAAAGAGTTAAGATAATGAGGTTGCATCTGCCAGTCAAATTTGGGGCACACGGCTGAGCCCCATGCTATAAAAACATGTACGCAAATGACTGGCATTGTAATGATCTTGTGCTGTAATGAATGAAGCCATGTGGCAAAATAGAAATTATTTCAAAATACATTTTTACCAAAAAAAGTTAGAGGCCAATTCAATAACTGTTCCAAACATTTCAGATACATTGTTTAATATAAATATCACTACTGAACCTTTTATAGTATAGTTATTAATTTTGATCTGCTCTGTCTCCATTTAAGGTCAGCGAGATACATGTACCTGAATTTGTCCACTCAGTGCTTTAAAGTTAATGCGTTTAAAACCAGAATTAACATAAGAAAAGCTAATTCGCTGCTTAGAAAATACCCACCTGCTACAGTGTTTTATAGTCCTGAATGGGACTCATCATCTGCCATCTGTCTGCTTTCTACTTCCTATGTTACTGCAAAAGGTCTTATGTGTACTATAATTTCCGTACATTACGTTAGAAATCCCATGATACATGCTTTGTTATTCATTCTAAAAAATATAATTTAGGTTTATTAACGAACTAAATAAACATTGTGCAAACATATAAAGTTTTAGAATCAATAATCGAAATACCTTAGATTATTTAACTCAATGTTGCTTCTCTGACACTGATTTGTAGAGACAGATTCGTATAGCTACAATGAAACAGGCCTCTCCATGTAAATGCAGGTTTGCAGTATCCCAGAAGTTGAGGGAGTGATATCTATGTCATCCCTTGGAGTTACTGTGCCAAGAATATATGGGAAGGAGATGATCTGCACCCAGGGTATTGTACTAAGGTTCCACCCCTAATCCCCGATGACAGATCAAAACGGTCAAGAGTTTCCCTACCTTTAACCTACTACTGCTGAGTAAACATGGACAGTAATCACCCCACAATCAAGCCTAGAACTCGAATACAAATTATTTTGGTCATGCATCCACATAAAGAATCTCTCTCTACTGCAGAACACAACTTTATGCTCTATAGAACACTATATCTGGGATCAAAATCCAATATCCTCTTTCCACCTCTTCTAATAGCTCCGATATCTGTGTTGTGTATCAGTAAAGCTAGGTGTGTATGAGTGCATTGCAGAGCAATGTGTATAAGTGTATCACAGAATTCTAAAATTCACCCTAATATGTTCAACCTTTAGCTAATGTGTTTAAGAATTTGTGTAAAATATGTTTTTGTTCTAAATGGTTTACTAATTAAATAGGCCACAGTGTAGTCACCAAAATATCCACCATATACTACCCATGTCCACAACTCAAATCAACGGTCTAACTTTTGGGTATTTTAAATACTTAAAGGATTTCATTTTCATTTAGTTTCAATAAAGTTCAGTCTTTGGATCTGGTAAAGATAATGTTTTCTAAATTTCTGTTGAAGGGACAAACGTTTCAGCAAAGAACCATCTGGCCTTGTAAAAGATAAGTAACTTGTTAATGTTTCATGTCAAAATGGTGAGTCATTATATAGATTGCAGTGAGATCTGGATTTATAAATTATTCACCCACCTTGGATTGATACTTTTCTAACTAGTCTCTAGAGAATCGCTTTCAGTGACCAACATACTTAATGGTAGACATGTATGTAATTAGGAAAACACTAATTGCTTTGCTTGCTTAACATATTCCACCAATACTAAAACTAAAGGACATTCTGCTTAAGTAGCACATTTAGCAAGATTTGGAGACATTTTTAGGAGTGAATGTTAAATGCTGGGACTAGTAACTGAGCTAAAAACTTTTTCAAATTAGCTATTGTTCCCTCAATTTTTGA